GGACGGCCTTGTTATCAAGTCGCTGCAGCAACGGTTCTTTGTTCGCCGTTGCAATTATGAATAAAGGCCGGTTCTTTACCGTCTATTTTCCATCAGCGAGACTTCCTCCCTCTTCTCTACATTCCACCTCTTTATTCTTTCAACTTCCATTTTTCGGACAATGTTGGCCTTTATCCCCACTATTGTGGTCCTCCTCTTCTCTGCCAACGTGGCCTCGGCGTTTTCGCCCACCGACCAGCAACTCACTTGCATCCAGACCTGCGGCAGCAATCTTATCCCCTCCAGCGGTTGTTCTGCGTAGGTACCGTACCGAAGCAAATGCACTTGGGTCTCATGATGTCTTCCTCTATCACAGCCAAGATATCACCTGTCTCTGCGGGTCCTCCGACTTCACCAGTAAACTGACGCAGTGCTTCACCGGCACCTGTGGCCTGAGTTCGAGCGACGCCCAGGCGGCACTCAATTGTCAAAACGGTACTGTTTTGTTTCGAATTCCGATGAACCTCAGTGACCAACAAATTATTTACAGTTCCCGGAAGTACGGGAGGGGGCTCATCAGATTCATCCCCTCCGTCAGACGGAGGATCCTCAGGGTCCACTCCGTCCACCGGAGGATCTTCAGGAGGAACCGACTCCAATTCTGGGAAGAAGAATTCCGCTGGGGCGAGTGGACTTCGCGTTGACGGCGTTGTTGGCGCCATAGTTGGACTCGCTTCTTGCGTGATGTTCCTGGCCTGAGCCTTTAGTTTATTCAGTTGATGTATGAGAGATGTGCGATGGATATGGGATTTTGTTCCGCCGCGAAACCCGCTACACTTCCAGATCGCCGCGTCGAGATAGCGCTTGAGGCCTTGATGACTCGCAGCGGGACATTGTCTGTATATACGATGTCGTCGGCCTGCGCGGCGATCTATAGGGCTGCCGCCCGTGACCGTCGGCACGGTTCGACGGCACCCGTCGAACGGGTGCCGTGCCCGTTGCGTCAGCCATTTTCACCACAAATCGACGGCACGGCTACGGCACGGTTTTCGTCCTCGACGGCCCGTTGAAACACGGCCGTCACGGCCGTTCAACGGGTCATTCATTTCTGCTGTCAGGAGGCTGTAATCTGGCACAGATAGTGGCTAAATCCCGCGCCTACACTTCCTTAACGGCCTCGGTCTCGGTCCTCTCTGATCTTGCCCCAAAAATTCCAAGTTCCAGTCAATTTGCTGCGATTTCGGCAATCTCCGAACTCTGATGTTGGAGTTGTGTTTGTCAATTCTCGAAAGTTTTGGTGAGGCTAACCAGTTTATGCCATGTTTAGCAGTTGCAGGGGATTCAGTTGGGCTTAGAAGCACTCACCATCCTTTCTCTCGCGTCATTTGCATCATATCTGTCTCGGTGAGCGGAAAGGTATTGACTATATCTGCACCCACCTCCACAATTGAACCCCGAAAAGCTAACTGTGGGTACTTCGCAGGTCCCACAGCCTTAAAACAGCTTTAGTATCAAATTCTGTAGGAAAAAACAACAGTTCAAAGCTTCGAACATACCCGTTGACCCGTCACGGCCGTCCCGTTGACCGTGCCGTCCCGTCAGGAATTTTTTCAGCAATTCGACGGGCCGTCTTGAGACGGCCCGTGGCCGTAGGTCACCCGTCAAATCGACGGCCGTTGCCGTCGCGGCAACGGGTGGCAGCCCTAGCGATCTACATTCAAGCGACCCAGATTTCAAGTACACAGAAGGCCAAGCCACTGCCACGACGGATTATCGACAAGCTGGGAACAAAGAGACGTGTACATGGGCACTTCTGATGCCACAGATGTTTTAAATGTGATAAGTATGTGCACCTCAAATTTCGCACTCACCGCCTGCCGCCCGGCCAAGCTCGTGCATCTCGCTCGGGCTATCCGGCTTGAACTCGAGCGCCGCTTTAGAGTACCAGACTTGACGTGCGCTGTGACAGGGAAACGACCAAAGCGGCCGAAACCTTCTGGGCCCTCATGGTATTTAATTGTTCGCGAATATAAGGCTGCTCCCCACGAACCTGCTCTTCAGCATCCTTTTTCTTTCTCTCGGGCCTTCTGTTTTCTTGTTCGATGATGGTGTGCGCTTTTATCACCACCCTAGCGACTTGTGCTCTCCTCCTCTCTCGGAACACGGTCGCAGCCCAGGGTGAATTACCGGCGACCAACTGCAGACTCGGAAATGCATCGGGAGATGTTCCACGGTGGCGTACCGTGCCGCTAATTGTGTTTTGTGCGTTCCCAAGGCCCAATACAGCTTCCCGCTCATAATCATTGAAATTGGTTGAATTCCTCCAACAGTGGAAGTCCCGACAGTATGGGCGATATACTGTCTAATAATTACGTGCGTTTTACAGGGTTTACATAGAACTTACAACTTTTTTATGGTTTCTGAATACAACTTCGCTTATTTGTCTGCAACTGCCCTGGATTACATCTCCAAGATGCTTACAACCGCTCCAATGAGTTTACATCTCCCCAAAATGCTTGGCATCATCATCAATATGATCCCATCGGGACGGCAAGTCCATCAATCATCGCGTTCCGGCTTAGAAAATTCATTCTGGTCCTGCAGCTACTTCAAAAAATATGTGAATGGTGCCATAAATTGGGGCTCATCCGATTGAACAATTTTGCCTAAACATTGGAAACATTTGAGGATAGCCACCATCGTAGGCACTGTTTAAAGCTGAATTTAACACATGTTCTGCTAGAGGTCGTTCTACCCAAAGTATAATGTCCTAGAAGCTCAAGGCACCCCTTAACTAAATTCAAAAAGTGTACTGTACCACAATGAGCCCTTGATAACTTAACAATGGCGGAAAACGTGATAACCGCCGAATCCGGACATCGGCAGAAGGCATCATCAGTGTTTTCGTCAATGTGGCTTCGAACCACCAACTCTCCCATGGCTGCATAAAGTTCTTCATTTAACAGGTGGGAGCGAGTTGCATTACTCCATGAAGACGATGTCGCCATACCTTGTAACTCAGATAAGGAGATAATTTTGTTTGGAGAGGGGAGGGGGGGAACTACAAAAGTCTTCGCGTGGCTTTAAGCTTGAAGGTCTTCACATGTTGAATACTTTCGACTGGGTTCTAGTACGAACCCGCCAGTCAGGTAAAGAAAAAAAAAAAAAAAAACTTGGTTCCATATGTCATCGGGTGTTTCGAACCAACGGCTCTCTCGCGGGCTAATGTTTGTTGCATAAACGACTGGGGGCGAGTTGCATTACTTCACGATGACGATACGAGCTTACCTTGTACCCTGAATATGTCCTTTGAAAATTCTGCTCACTGGGAAGAAAAAAGCCAAAAAGAAAAAATGTCTCACTATCGATGAGTGTCCCCGGGTGGGTTCGAACTATCGGTCCCGATATCGGCATACCTTGTACCTCGGATATACCCTTAATTTTGTGTCGAGAGAGAGAAGAAAAAAAGCTGCGGCAATTGAATGTCTTCGGGCGGAATCGAGAGTCGGTGGTTCAAATTCTCGTCTCGAGGAATATATACTTATAGTAATTCTAAATATTGCGGACAGCTTGAACTCAAGGCTTCCTTCCTTATTCCTACTTTCTGGTCCAGGTAAAAATAAAACGAAGCGCCCCATTAAGGCTTTGAACCACCGACCCCGTTTGATCCACCTGGAAGGCGGGAGTGAGCTTACTCCATGAAGACAATATGAGCTTGCTTTGTACCTCAGATAATACTCCCTCCTTTTCTCTCTGGCCGTGGGGGAAAATAAAAATAAAAAGTTGCTACAGCCAACTAATGTCTCAGGGTGCATTCGAACACCGACTCTCCCGTGAGCAATATGATTCACGTAGCAGGTGGGAGGGAGTTGCATCACTCTACGAAGACGATATCGGCTTACTTTGTACCTCGGATATGCACATACTTTTATTTTGGGCTGGGAGGGAAAATTGGACCGCGTCGCTGTGATGTCTGAATTTCAGTTGGATCCCCCTCTTCAGGAATAATTATAAAAATTGACCACAACTTGAACTCAAAACTTCAATCCTTCCTACCTTCCTGTCCTCATCTGCTGGCCGGGTAAAAGGGAGAGAAAATTGTACTCTTCACTCTCTTCGGGTGGATTGGAACCACCGAGTTTCCCGTCACGAGTACCATGCCCGTTTTAACAGGTGGGAGCCTGTTGTAATAATTACTCCACGAAGGCAATATTTGCCGTATCTCGTGCCTCGGATACACCCACAATCGGGAGGGGAACTAAAAACAATCACTGCAGAATATTATTAATGTCTTCAGGCGGCTTCGAAGCACCGAACCACCAGCGCTCGCGGTATGTCGCCCGAGCAGGCTGCAGTGCAGGCTTGGACCCTGAATAAATACCATCCCATCCTCATTGGCTGCTCGAAAGAAAAAGGTGCTATTTCTTCGGGTGGATTCGAACGACCGACTCTCTCATGGCTGCATGGAATTCTTCATTTAACAGGTGGGAGCGAGTTACATTGCTCCACGAAGACGATATCAGTTTACCTCCTAACTTGCAATATATTCCCGTGCAGAAAAAAAGCAAAAGCTGGGACTTGTCTTCAAGGTCAAACCACCGGTCAAGTAAAAGAAAAAAACGCTTGTTCTCAAACCGAATGTCTTCAGGTGGATTCGAACCACGGCTCTCCCGCTCTGGGTTGAATATGCTGAACGAGCAAGTGGGAGTGAGTTGCATTACTCCACGAGGACAATATCGGTTTATTTGTACCTTGGATACACTCACAGCATCAATCTTGTTTTCTTGGTCTGGGGGAAAAAAGAAAAGAAAAAAGAAGAAAAAAAGTTGCTACCAATAATTATTGTCGTCAGGTGGATTTGAACCTCTCCCGTGCCTGTATGACTCAAAAATAGCAGCTGGGAGTGAGTTTCATATATTCCTCCGCAAAGATGACATCAGCTCAGGCATGAATCCGCAATAAATCGCCATCCTTATCTGCCAGTTGGGAAAAAACAAAAAATAAACCATTCATACCACTGATGTCTTCGGGTGGATTCGAGCCACCGACTCTCCCATGGCTGTACGACTCTGAATTCAGCAGGTGCGAGTGAGTCCCATTACTCCACAAAGACAATATCAACTTACCTTGTACCTCGGATACACCACACCCACAATCTTGTTTTGGGCAGGGAGAGGAAAGAAAAAATAAAGCTGCTTCCAATTATGATGTCTCCGCATAGCCTCCAGCTCGAACCGCGGGGCGGGTCGGGTCAAAGGAAAAAAAAAAACTGTGATTTTGAACTGCTGTATATCTCCGGATGGATTCGAACCACCGACTCTCCCGTGCCTGTATGATGTAGTAATGTCGCATCATAAAAGGCGGGAGTGAGTTGCATTACCCCATGAAGATGATATCGGCCTACCTTGTACCTCCTCCTCATCCCTATCTGCCGCTTGGGGTCAAAGACAAAAATAGTGTATCTTATCAAATGTCTTCGGGTGGGTTCGAACCACCGACTCTCCCATGACTAAAATGAGCTCCATCTAACAGGTGGGAGTGAGTTACACTAATCCACAGAGACAATATCAGTGTACCTCATACCTTGGATATACTCCCTCCTTTTCTTGCTGGGAGGTGAAAAAGCCGCGATCGGTTATTCTTTTTACAAAAAGGATCCCACTGTGTAAGTGGAATATCTTCGGGTGGACTCGAAGTTTGACCACCGACTCTCCCGTGGCTACATGACCAACCTAGCAGGCAGCGGGAGTGAGTGGTATATATTATTCGGGCCAAGAGATTTTGACGCAGGCATGAAAAAACACCTGGCTGTTATCATTTCAATTGACCAGACTAAGATTTTGGGTCAATACATGCCGAAATGAGTTACATCCACAAGGAAATCAGAAACAAATGGGATAAAATGTAAGTTAAACAAGTTGAAACTGATGAGAGAATATTGCTGTGGACCAACTGCGGGCTGGCATCCATTTGTGGCTGATTCCAAGCATAATTGAAGCAAATGTAAATCTCGAGTGTCCCGCCTCAGTAGTATTGGTTGCGCGTCCATGTGTTGGTGCCGCACGCGTCAACATCGGTTTCCTGCATGTCAAAAATCAGTCGGCCCGCGCGTCAATGATCCCATCCGCGCATTGAACATCGGGTTCTTGCGTGTCAAGTGCGCCGCGCAGTACTGAAAACTTTCATCTGTTAGATTCAAGCAGTGTTGACTACCGTACTGAAGTGAGTTTCTGGTCCTTGAAATTAGAATTTAGGGCACTCAAGCAGTTTATCATCAGATGATATTCACTGAGTGGTTCTGGCTCCTACTAGCAACGTTGGAAGCACGTACAGCTGTTCATATATCAAAAATATTTGAGAGCAGCAGTGTAACTGGTCCACAGGCGTACTTGTTAGTTGTATAACCTTGCATAAACTCTAAGACTGAACTACCTGGTCTATTAAATCTTCAGGGGAGGATTCGATGTGTTTCGTACTGATTTCCGCCTAGCACATGCATAGCGCCGCTTGAATCTCGGCAGAAATGCATACCTCTCACATGCACAGAGTGCGCGACACTAACCTCTTCTTTCTTTGCAGAAGCCCAACCAGAACTGCGGAGCTTTGATCATGAGTACTCATTTTTTAACGTTTTATAGCTAAGAAAAGATAACAGGAACGTCAGTAGTGACGTGGGATAACCCACTTTCCCCTTTCTTTGGAATGAAGGTTACAGTGGGTTCAAACATCCGCATAATTGTGAATCAACTCGGCGAGGAATTTTTATGTATCATCTGCTCAAACCTGTAGCAGGGCCTACAGTAATAATCAAATATACTGTATAAACTGCGTAAAGGGAGGACCCAGTATATCAAACGGGAGAAGGCTAATGGTCTTATATCTATGCAATAATACTGCTGTGAGATGAGCCGCTGCAGTGCCGTGTTCTTAAATAAACCGCGGTGCGCGGTTGAACTGTCCGCACGTCAATGTCTCGGCCCTCATTTCGGCGCTGCGTCAACACTTCGGCATGTGCGCTGCGCGTCAGTCGCGTCAGTGTATCAAAAACTCTGTGCCCATATTATTCCACGAAGACGATATCTGTGTACTGAATATATACTCCCTTCCCTTCTTCATTGGAAGGAGAAAATCTTCGATTGAGTTCCCGTAGGAAACACCGGCCGGGTCAGGTCAACACCTAGTCGCAACTGAAGCATATCTTCGGGTGGATTCGAACCACCAACCCTCCCGTGGCTACATAGTAATTCAGCCAATTTAACAGGTGGGAGCGAGTTAGACTACCTTGTACCTCGAATAAAGACCATCTTTATCTGCCGGTCGGGGTAGAAGAAAAAAAGAAGATCTTCCGACCGAATAAATAGTGTCTTCGAGTCGGTTTGAACCACCACCGCCGTTACGGCCGCTGTGCCTTGAATGTGCCGAAACGGGTGGGATTGAGTAATATTCACACTACCCCACGAAGACGATATGAGCTTACCTATACACACAAATTTTGTTTTATGCTAGGAGGAAGAAAGGAAAAAAGATGCTCCGTACAATCAATACACATGTTTGCCTGTGCTTGGCCCACCCGTCTTTGACGCGACCCATCACGTGTACACACCTTGCCTCTTTTCTCCTCCACGCTAATCAAGCGTGCGTGTGCGACGCCGCCGCCTGGGTCCTCGACGCAGATTGCGATTTTGTCCGATGGGAAAGGTCTCATCCGCCGCGTCCAGCGCACAAGCGGGCTCGACGCGACCCGCCCATCGTTAGTCTCGAATGGGGTGTGTACCCTTCCTCCTCTTCATTTTATTCTACAACTAAAACGTCCCAGGTCGAAATCCTAAGTTGCCGCTTCGACCTCACCGGCCAAAACATCGCCGCCGCAGCATCTCTCTCGAGCTCTGTATGCCCGCTTTTTTTTAGGGACGTACCCGCCGTCTTTATGGGAGCTAGCCCGCCCTCTTTCGCGGGATTGGCCCGCCGTTTTTCGGTGCTGCGGCTTTCCCTCCTGCCATCCACCCGCGCCACGCTCAGTCATGCTCTCCCAGGCTTTAAATCCAAGAACATCTACGTGAACCTCAACCTGCTCATCAAGGCCGAAGCCAAGGCGGTGTACGAGGACGGACCCAGGCGACGATTGTTAGGTGCGTGTCTGTATTCTTTTGGTCTCTCTCCTGCGCTTCCTCCTGCTCCTCCCGCTTGTCGTATACCTTTCCCACGAGGCGTATACCTTCCTCCCGCTCATGTTATTCTCCCTCCCCGTTCACCCATCCCGGGCGTTGCGTCTCTCCTTCTCCTAATCACTTACCACTCCCTTCCTTCCACCGCGCTCAATCTTCCCTTCCCGCTCGTCCCTCCTCCTCTACCTTCGTCTTCCCTATCTGTCTCATAGGTCCATATCGGCGCTGCGTCCGTCCCACAACGCACTCCATGTCATAGCCCGCTCCTTCGCGCTCCTTCCACATATATCCTTCTTAACGCTCCCTCCATCGCTCCTCCCTCACCCCGACCCACCCCGTCGTCCGTACCTATATCGGCGCTACTTCCCTCCCCTTTGCTCCTCCCCTCTCCCACCACACACTAACAATCCCCCGCAGACTACGCTCAACCAGGAAGCGATCGCGCAGATCTCGCCGCGCTTCGCGCCGAACATTCAGGATATTAAGGCGTGTTTCTTTGCTTTCTTTTTTCTTTTTCTTTTTTCCTTTTTGGAGAGTGGATGTTTCCTTGAGGGGGCCGTTTGGTGGGGAAGGGGGGCGCGCGCACTGTCGCGTCTTAGCAGGGTACACCCCTGCGCATGTCCTGTGCGCACCGTGTCTACTGCGTGCCCCGCACATTGCTGCGGCGCTCGGCGTCATGGAGCCCGCGCCGTTGCTTGCCATACGGGCGGCTCCGTATACGCCAAACGCGCGCTGCGTGTGGTGCCGCCGTGGGCCGCGTGCTCCACGCTTCCCCGCGGCGTTCCGTGTCATGGGGGCCCGCGTCGTTTCGTGTGACGCGGGTATACGCCGCCACCCCGTTTCTGGCGCTTTTTGCGCGCCTCCGTGGGCTGCGCACTCTCGGGGTCATATGCGTTGCGACAGCCAGGGCGCCTGCACCGTTCGTGCCTCTCCTCCCCGCGTGTTTTCCGCGTGTGGACTGTGTCAACGAGACGAACGCCGCAGTTGTAGACAGGACAAGCGTGCGCGCGTTGGCGAAGTTCCGCGCGGTTATATGCGCTTCGCGTGTCCCGCGTGTTTGGTGCCCCCGTGGGCTGCGTTGATGAGGCAAACGGGACAAGCGTGCACGCGGCGGGGGAGGGGAAACGCGCGGGCTGTTCCGCGGGGGTCATGTACGCCGTGCGCAGTTTATGTGGCGGCTGGCCTGACGGGGCATGCGCCGCGCCCTGTGCGCCGGCGTGGATGCGTGTGCCCTGGGCGGCGTAGCCGACGTGCTCTGCGTGCCGTAGGCAACATCGTCTGCGCAGACGTAGGCAACATCGTCAACGTGGACGTTGGCGACGTCCTCTGCGAGTCGTAGACGTAGCAGGCAAACGGGCAGGCGCCTGTCGATGTGGACGTACGTTGGCAGGCGAGGCACGGACGGGAGATGTGCCACCACGCGTTTGTCATGCAAATTGGGCGGCTGCGCCGCGCTTCTCGAAGCGTGCTTTGGGCGCTGCAAGCAAGCCCGGTGGGGACGTGCTCTGCAAAGCCGAGTGCGGAGCGTGCTCCGCGCGCCCCGCCCCGCGAGCCGTTTCTGCTGTACTCTGCGCTCGCCGGTTGTGCTGCGCCGGAACGCCCGCGTCTTTGGGTGCGCCGCGGGCTCTGCGCGTGCCTGAGCGAAGGAATACATCGAGCGCGTGGACGGGTCCAAGGATACGTTTGCGTATGTGGCGTGAGGCAGCTGCTGCTGCGCGCCCGTGTGCCTTGCTCCTCTGCTTCTGCGAGCGCGAGCGCGAATGGCAGCGGGGGCGAGTGGTGCAGCTGGTATGACTTATGTAGAGCGCCCAGTTTCTTTCCATTTTCTTCTTTTCTACATCCTCTTCATTTGTATCTCGCTCTCCTCCCTTCCCTGCATCACTCCTACTCATCCTACTTACATATCGCTCTCCCTTTACATATATACACAGACACACTGGGCCGCTTTGCTATGCTAATTAATCACCTACCGGCCCACACCCACTTACACGCACGAGAATAAAGAATGAAAGAATGAATGAGTGTCACTGAGCTGTATACGATGCTGATAAGTAATGCGGGCGCGGGTGGCGGTTCGTGCAGTTCGCTTCTTCTAATTGCTACGTCCCAACACACTCTCCCTTGAATTATAGAGGATCTTCATCCCCTGCTTTCCTGCCTCGACCTTTGGATGGGTTTCGACGATTGTCTTCAATAATCATGATCCCCGTATCACCTTTAACGCAG